AGTATTGTCACCTCACAACGGATTCTTGCGGTTAACGTGGCAACCGCCAATTCACTTGAACCTCGTATCGGAGCAATTAACCTTCAGGTGGCTAACTCTATGGTACAAAAAAAAAGTTTTTCCTTCAAATTCACGCCTATCCAACAAAAATCATCACATTGCAAATTCAGTTTTATGAAAAAAAATATTGAATTTTCCAAAAAATATTATTCCAAAGTACTACTGCATGCACTGAATGACCTGAAAGACACTAGAACAAAACTGAGAGCCCAATAAAAAACACGATCAAAGACTTCCATTTTTGGAGGTTCAAATTAACGGGAATCTGACATGGAAAATTCTATCAAAGACAAATCTTCAAAAATCCATGACCATAAAGACAGCCATGGATTTTCGGATCAAAGGATCCTGACTTTTATTGCTTTTTAGGTAGATAATTTTATGGACTGAACGAAAAAGTAGAATCACTGGAAATTTAAAAACTAAATTCTGACCCGTAAGTAGGTACTCTTAACTAAAATTCAAAGACGTTTTTTTTAAATCGTCATTTCAGATGTTTTTATTGTTATTTAATAACTTCTTTAAAAAAATAAACCATACCTACTTATTTCATACGTACTATATTACATTTCAGAAATTGCTCTTAATCATTTAAGAAACAGCGTACGCCAAAGAAATTCTCATTATATCACTGTCTACTAGTTACCTCAGAAGAAATATTAAAATTATAAGCATGCAAATAATGTACAGTTGCAATCAGTGAATAAATTTCATGGTCTACTAGAGGACATTTTTTTCGACCAAATGATACAACTTTATGCTCGCACTAAATACAATGAAAACTTTATCATAGTAATTAAAATGTAAGAAAATTCGGACACTGTGTCAACATTTGAAGCAGAACGTGTAGGCAATTACGGATTAATCATTTTTAGTGTGGAGTTGCTATGTTATATTTTCATAATTATTATCAAAAAAATTACTCTTGACACTAAGAGAAATATGTTTTCCTACTTTTATTTTTTTTTTATTTAGATGGGGGAACAAGGAAATAAGGTCAATAGATCGCGTTATATTATTAATAGACACAAAAAATTGAAGAATAAATTGTTTGTCCAATTTTGTTAGTTACCTAACAAACGAGAATAACTTTATATAATTTTTAAACTTATATTAAATTCACTTCTAACTGAATGTTATCGAACTTCATACTAACTTAGAATGACCTATTTCTCTACAATTTTTAAAACAATATTTACAGCCTGCAGACATTTTCATTGTATTTCCCTGCTACGTCTGATGGACTCCGAATAGCCGAAGTTAAAGTATTATTAAACTCAACCATCACTAACTTTTTTAACGATTCCTGCTCCTCCAGTCGCTGCATTCATCTAACTAGTCCAGATAATTCTCATTTTTTTTCCTGCAAAAAGATCCAACCGCAGTTTCAATGGCGTTCAATTCTCAATTGTTGAACTGGTTGGCTTTGTTGCAGCGCAGTCAAAAGATGGAAAGATTTATAGACGTAATTATGCCGCAACGAAAATGAAAGATTGAAGCTTGAAATAAAACTAGATAAAAGTTGTAATTGGAAATAGATCCAAAACTCGTTTAAACCGGGTTTAATTATTCTCCGGATGAAATTCGAACCGAATATTTCATTACCTGGATATGCACGGTTAGTGCAAAATTCATGGAAAGTTCGGATCTAGAAACTTGGAAATTATTTTTGAACTCACTGTGTACGAATGGACGTTTGCGAATTGAGGCTACAGATAATAATGTGCATGTGGCACCTTTTAGCAAACTTTTTTCATGAAAATTGCCATCCTCTACACATTTAAAGTTTTGGAAGCTGAGCTTAACTGTGCAAATATTAAAGAAAAACACAAATAATAATAAAGCGATAAAAAACACGTTACTATCCTCGCAATTTCAACAAAATACTTAGGCCATGTTTGGCAGTGTTCTAATTTTCACTAGGTATTAGAAGCTTTATTTAGCACTAACTAAATTGCATATACACAAATATGTTTAATTTAATAAAAGCATGTGTTTTTTTTTCTTAATTTTAGAGCTTCGATTATTTCGCAAACGCTTACCTACACAAAAGCACGGGAAAATAATTATTTATTTGAATGTTATCTTTAGCAACTAGCTGATGTTTGTAATCTAAAAGTACTCAGTAATTTAGCGCCAACAAAAAAAAAACAAAACGTGCACATTACAAAAACCTAAGAGAGCTTTTTAAAAAGCCAAAATTTAGACAATAAACAGATTTGATTGCATTTTATGTTGTCGAATTTCATTTCATCCTACTAAATACTTCAAAAGTCGACAATATCATAGTGAACATGGTATGTGACACAGAAGATTTTGAAAATTTTGGAACTTCAACAATATTGTTAAAGCAGTAATATTTTTAGGTAGATATAAAATAAATCGCTATTGGCGAATATTGAGGTTTTAGTAATTTAAGTGCTTCTTATTCATTTTTTTAATCCCGTTTTTATAGCCAATATTTCGTGCAGATCAGATATGCAGCAAAATATTAGAAAAAAAAGAAACACTTCCAAATAACTAAATATGTGGACTTTTGTTAACAACTTCGTTTGAACAAGAATGCCAGCGCACTATTAAGTCCACGTTATTACGTCAAAGCTGTTTCAGTTTCAGTTCCACAAAAATATGCTTTTAATTGTTTGGAATAAATGGTAAATGACAAAAATTATAAAATATGGTTTCAAGGTGTAACTTTCTCGAAATTAACCCTTAAGAATAAAATAGCTAAGAATAAATCTAAATGGTCCTAGTTGTACGTATATCAAATATTAATTCTTTGCTTTGAATTTTAAAATATTTTTTTACTGTTTTATGCATATGTTTACATTTATTATGTTTCTTATTAACGATTTTCAACTTTGAACTTTGTATTTGTGATGACAGCGATATTATAGGTAACTTTGATGAAACTGAAATTACGTAAGAATCTTTGGAGTAACGTCTATTTTTACAGTACCTATTCAAAAACTTTTTTATTTTTAACTCATTACATAATACGCCAATATAAAGTCAACGTGTTTTCAGTTTAAACAAGATATGCTCTTGAATAATTTTTATTTTTTCCAGTTTACTACTCAGTGATTAATTTTAACAAATACTTATTTTGTAGAATGAATAGGTACTTTTTTCTCTATTCTACCAATTTCCGTAAAATTACATGGATTGTTTTTGAAATAAGCAATCATAAAAGCAGAACATGTCACACTATAAATTTCAAACGAAATTTTCTTTAAGTACAAAATTTGAAGATGACGTCACCTAATTTTTTAAAGAGATAAACGGAAAAATTTGGGGCACCTACTTTTTCATATTCTAGACCTATAGAGGCTACGACATGACATCTTCATCAAATGGGTCTTGTTGGAGATAACAAAACACTTCGAAGAAAAGTATTTATCATTGGTAAATTTTTATGACATATTCTACATTTTTTCTGTTCACTCGTTTCGCTCTCGCATGATTTTTTAACTCGGCTGCGTCTGGTTACAAAACTTGATTCTAAGGCGGTAAAATTCCATTTTCAATATACAAACAGGAAGTCTTATGAGAAGTTGTAATTTTTTACTTCAACAACGAAAATTCTGAATAGGAAATAAAACGGAAGTTTTTTCGTATAAAATTTGCTTAGATTTTGTAGATTTCTCATTTCCAACGAGATTATTAAAATCCGTTGGTTCTTAGGAATTATATCTGGTTTTTATGAGTAATAAATGTTATTTACTTTTATCCAGTGCCACCAAATAAATTCATTTTTTAATAAAACTGAGCATTTTTTTTTATTTTACGATCACATTTAATGTGGCAATTTTTTGCAGCGTGATCCTCCTCAGGTGGTAGACGGTATGACAAAAAGCTCATATCTTATTACCCGCAACCCTATCGCCGTTTTTGAATTTGAGTACCGGCTATACTATATCATCCGGGATTTTTTCAAAATATGATATTAAAAAATATTTATTTAACAACTGTGGTGTACAAATGGAATCCACGCACTTCTGTAACTATGTAGAAACACGACGTGTGCTTTTCTTTAGATATTCTAAAATTTCTTATACCTAGATATTTTTTAAATATTTACAACAGCCGTGAATAAGTCGTCTATTGTTTCATTTCACAACTCAAATAAATCTTCAAAATTAAGCGGTTTTAAAACTAGATCACTAGTGTATGGCAGTTAAAACAGACTATAACTTAAACAAAGACAAAAAACGTGGCACTTATATATTCACCCTATATTGAAACCAAGACAGAAAGAAGGTACGCAAGAAATTTGGTGTTCGTTTAAATATAGGTTCCACTGTTTAATAGAACGATAAAAATTCTGTACTACGAGTATGCCGTAAACAATATAGGGTGACAGCAAATTGGTGAAACGAAAGTTTTTTTGCTAAAATATGTCCCACTGTAAAGATTTTAATAAAATCTACTACAGGCAATTCAAGGAAAACAGTACCGAGATAATTTAAATATACCCATTCTGAAGAAAATTAACAAAAGAGAAAAAGATGAAGAAACCGAACGAACACAACTGTCAACACTCGTTCCATCCTTTTTCATCAGTCTTTTCTGATCTAATTCTTATTATTAGTGACATCGACAATATAGTAGAATAAATGAGTATCAATCCGACGTCAACACAACTTTACGACAACAATAACAAAATAACCGTGTCTCAGGTCAGTCCGAGTAGTTGATTAGAAACCACGCCCCTTATCTTAACGCAACTTGGTGCATGTAGGCCGCACTTTCGGCCCATACGAGCACCGTCTTCGCCGTGGCGAAGACGGCCTCCTCGGCCTCCTGCCTCCGAGAACGGGGTCCAGCGGCAGCGGCCCCCTCGACGGCGACGGCGACGGCGGTACGTCCGGCCGCCTCAGGCTCAGCGCCGTCAGTCCGCCGCCCCCGGGGGCCCGTTCCCGGTCGTCCGCGAAACCTACCCTTGTGGACCGAACCGAGGGAGAGCCGCGGCTCCAGCGGCAGCCATCTTATCCAGCAGCACTCGCAACTTGGGGCAGCACAGCGGCTACAACGGTGATGTCTCGCGCGGTAATCTCTAGTCACAAGCAACGGTGCACTCATCACACACTGGCACGCGGCGGCAGCACGGAAACGGTAGACGTCAGGACACCCGACGGGTGACGGCCCGCCCCGCCCAGTCTCGTGACATCGCTAGACGGCCGCCCGCTCTCGCCCGACATGCAGCCGTCCCAACGCGCGCCGACGGAATGGGAGCGGTCGCGACGGCGGCCAGGGCGGCGGCGGCGCGCGCCAATCCGCAGGGGCGGCGTCGCGACGCGCCAAACTCCGGCGCCGCCGCAGAGGGGGCTCGAATAAGACAACACTTTAAAATGTAATACACATACAACTGTTTATTGAGACATATAAATCATCAGTCATCTCAGAATTAATCGATAGACGATATACATCATAACAAATCATCAAGTTCGAAGCTGGCGACTCCGACCATGTTCGCACACAATACAGTACAGTCGTGACGGCGGATTTGATGACGGTTCACCGTGTGGATGCCGCGATGGCCGAGGGCTAGAAGATGCTGTCCTCAACCAAGGTGCGAGACGTGGACACATCCTGTAGCCGTCGGACGCGTCGCAGCAACCACGACAATCAGCTGGTTGGAGTAGTTGTAGTGAATGGCAATTTGTTACTATAGTGATAGTATGTATATAATTCTAATACAGTATAATGTCAATTGATTAGCTACATCACACTAAAGATTAAAAGGACAGATCAACTTTGTTACAGTGTACTGAAAGGGACATGCCAGGGAAGCAAAAAAGCAAATCAAGTAAAAATAACCGATACAATTACCGTTTAAAATCAATAACCATGATACTGAGCCTAACATTGCAATTGAGTGTTTTAGCTGTAATATTAATTACTGTCTGGAGCTGAACTGTAATTGTTAATCCGGTGCCGGAAACAGAAGTATATGCTTGAACTCCTTAAATTACTGCTAAAATACATCACAATGCAAAAATGCATTTGCAGGAATAAAATATATAATTATATTATACATATAATAAAACTCACTCGTTTCATGAGCAACGATCTTTTTAGTCAGGACACTGCATGAACCGAGTGCAGTCCCTCCATGCCCTGCCCGATCGGTGCTAAACCACCGATCGCGCTAAACAGTGCCAAACCCATGCTTCCATACAGTCAGTGTTAGTTAAAACAGCCAACAGACGAATTTTTAAATTTACAAAACCACGTTTAAAACCGAATCTATGCAGTGATGTGACACCTGGGATGTCGGGTTGCAATTAAGTAATAAAAAAAAATAATAAAAAACACAAGAGAAGAATTAGAATAAAGTGCAAACTATACGTCCCGACCTGTGAAAAGACGGGACATCAATCTGCACCGAGACTATAACGACGGGCGACGTCCCTGCGATGTAACCTCCAGAGCAAGGGGACACATCACCCAAATAACATTAAAACATAATAAAAAAAATAACTTATACAATTCAATTTTCAAATGAACTCGAAACGACACAGTTAAAAATTTTGAAAAACCAACATGGTATACGAAATAACCAAATCAACAAATTATTAAAAACGAATGCAGATAGATATTTAGCAATGAATTAAAATAGTATGGGGACACCATCAGCTGTTGGGTTCCTCTAAGTAGGGCGCAGGCGCACACCAGCAGGCACTAGAGGGTGCGCCTACCCTTGCCCAGACGTAGGGCCACTCGCACTCAGTCCCACCGTGGGCTGCACTGTCCTATCACTTAGCTCCAGGACCCATACGAATCCTGGTACCACGCCTGCTGCTCTCCGTTGACGTCCGCCCCCAGCGGCTGCTGCGGGAGGGGCTGGCTACCCCAGTTGCTCTGGTATCTGCGCTTTGTCTCCCCTTGGTTCTGGTGACCCCCGTCAAATTTCCGTTTACCTGCTGAAAAAAGTACATCCTCTAGAGTCTACACAAAAATATTAACCCACCAACACTTAACGGCGGCTACAACTTGGTCTCGCATGCCTAATACTGCTCCAACATAGTGAGATCACGATTTCGATTTGCCCGTCTATGTAGACGGAGACACATTTTGTCAACTTCAGCTGCAGGTCAAATTTAATAAAATTTTCTGTACATTATAGTTAAAACAAAGAAACTAAAAAATCAGGATAGCAGAGTAAAAATATTTAAATAAAAAAATTTTCCCAGCGATGCTGTCAAATCCATTTTCCTAATACAAACTTTAAACAAGAAAAAAATCAACAATACAAGAAACACTACGTAAAAAAAATAAACTAAAATGATCATATCACATTTAGGCTTCGATGTTTTCAAAGATTTCAAATACTTTATTTACCCTCGAATTGTGTTGACAACTGAGAATTTTTATGGTTTTCAAAATTATGAGATCATCATTTTTTTAATAAGAAGAACAAGATGAACATTTATAGAAGTTTCGAAGTACAAAGGTCACTTAAGTTGTATGTAACTTATTCAAAAATCTTTTTCAAAATAAACAAAAAAATCATTTAAGCATAATACGATGTCACCACTGCAAAAACCTCGTCCATGTGAAAAATGAGTTCAGTTTGGCTTGTCCAAATTTTGCATTGGTGTCCACTGTCGAATTTGTACCATGTTTTACCAATAATATCTGCATGTTTAAAAAATATACTACATATAAAATCACAAAAACTTTATGTATGTTTTGAAACGTAATCAAATATCCGAAAACAGTGTCAATCAGGATGGGTGCCAAAAGTGGTGTGGTAAAAAATGTGTGAAAATTTTTACCGGTTCGCAATATCTAAAAAAGACTAGCACTTATTCAACAATAACTAAAATAAATAAAAACAATTTAAAGTGTCATTTCTGAAAATACCAAAGTCAATTTTTAAGCTGTTAAAATTTTGAAAACCCTCCGTCGATAAGTTCAATGAGGATAATATTTAAGTTTGAATATGGCTTTGTTGTATATTAGACAACAAAACATTTGAAATGAACAACTAAAATTTAAAATGATGAAAAAAGCATGACCAAATGTCTAAAAATAAAAATCTTCAAATATAATTGAAATTTATTTCAAAAAATTTGCATACACAGATTTTAATGCGAAATAATTTATTGAAAAATTTTTCCATGAAAATTTCTACAACAACCTAAAATTGCAAAAACGAAACAATCAAAATTCCTGCTGAACAAGTACAAAGCTTCTAAATATTCTCGAATCTGAATCTCTTTTTTTCTTTTTTCCTTTAAACTCAAATCTTGTTAATATTCTTTTTCATTTTTTCTACATGACCAAGATTTAACCGCCGCATTAGAAGTACAACCATAGGGTCGATACTTATTCCACGTAGAGTAACATACACAACTTAACAGGATTCTACGTTCAAGCTGGAAGAAATTCCATTCGCTGCATCGCACACAAAAACTAAGCACAACTTAATAAAACTGAAACTGAAAGGAATCGGATAAGGATGGAGGAAATTCGGCGTAATGTTCCATCCATAGACAAAAGATAAATAATACTTAATATAGACTGGACACTCTGCGATTTTTCTTTCAATAGGTTCCAGTTTGAGATAAAGTCGCACGTCGCTGATTTTATTTACGCAACCTATCTACCAATGAAAAAATTATCTTCGGTCTCAATCCTACCAAATTGTATTATAAAGATTATTGAAACAGAACTCTATTTGCTTTTGGACAGGATTTATACAGCAAAATTTTTAAATCACGCAATAAAATTTTTGGGGATAATAAACAGATAAACTTTGATTAACGATTTATCATACTTATGATAACGTCAAAACGTTTGCAAGATTTCAGAGCATTGGGTTGTGCAATTTCAAAGTTAAAGTGTAAAATACAATTTTGATTTTTTTTCCAAAAACCTACATGGCTATGATGAAAAATAATGACGGGTTCGTAACCCACAAATATAATGTTTTTTTTATAAAATTTAAGTAGACTCTACTATACAAAACTTTGAGATGACGTCATAAAATTGTTGGTGGGGGTAATCTGACGAATTCTGGATAGAATTTTATCATTTATGCAATATTCCTAAAATAAATATAGTTTCACAGCAATCCCTCCAAAGTTACGGAGATTATCCGTCTTATAAAATCGACAGACAGACGGAAACGGAAGATCTATTTCTAAATAGGGTAGTCATGAAACGTCCGACAAAATAAAATGAAAATTGATCCGATTGCAATACTTTCCTAGCGTAGGGTGGTGAAGTTTCTTATTTCCCATCTGGAAGATTTAATGAACTAGCGATTTCAGTTATTTTCGTAAGGCGTGACCAAAATCCTGATGTCCAACTTTTTTAAAAAATGTTGCAAATAATCTCAGATAATTTCATTTATAATTTAGAAAAATATCCGCTACGGCTTCTGCATGCTTCAACGTCGTCTAAACTAAACATTGATGTCAAAATCAAACCATTCCTGCGACTGTTTCTTTGACCGCTCACAACAATTTTTAGAAAACCATTTTCTAACATTTTTTGGTTATGTTCTACACTTTTAAAAGATTTATTTCTAAAATTTTGACAAACCACTTCTTAGACCGAACTAATTACATTTTAATTTAAAATTTTCAGAAAAGAGGTTTCTTTTGACATTTGGCATACTTTTTAATGACATAATAATGAATGACTGAACAATGGGAATCACCTCTAAAACAAACTATTCCGTAGTCCAAACGTTCTATATATGTCTACACCAAACTTTATCAAAGACCAACACTTGCAGGCATATTTCACCTTTTTTGAATATCGTTCTTCAATTCTTAGTACTAGACAAGATAAATAACATGAACAGCACGTAGTAGTAGTTCAACGTTGGCACAAAAAAAAGAAATTGGTAACCCGCTTGAGGTCAACGATTCCAATAGTTCCGTGATCTCAACGCTTCTCTTATTGGAACAAAACTTGATAACTTTGCATTTGGATCATTCATACATGACTACCTTAATATTCTCAATACGTGAGTCGAATTTCAGCTGTCTTGTAAGCGAAATATTCTTTAAAGGGCTAATGCGCCTTAGTAATTATCGAACTTATTTCGTAAACTGTTGTCACTAATCAAGTTTGTAAGGCCTTAAAGCTACATATCAAATTTCTCCCATTAATACGTCGTATCTTTCGAAAAATATTTTTTTATTGTGTATTGCTGTTTTTATAATGGAATCTTGAGAACACTAACACAAACAAGCTATTTATAACTTTATTTTTAAACAACAATCAACAACAACTCGTAAATATACACACCCAGTAATGCAAAGTTGAAATTCCGGAATTTCTTATGTAAAACACCCTCGACTTATGATCAGTATAAAGCATATACTTACTACGTGCCATCAAACCATGTAGTATAGAAAACAAAATAACGCACGAAATTTTAGTGCAAATAAAATATATCCTTTTTAAGTAATGAAACATTTCAAAAACATCGGGTGCAGTTTTTGTGCATTTCTTTGCTTAAGGCACGTTTTTTTTTTTGGAACATAGGGAGCGTGGAATAATAAAGTTAGAAATAAATATTTAAGAACGTGCATTTAAAATACAGTTTACTGCATAACTTTCTGAAATGATGTAATCAACATTGTACAATGTAACACTAAATATATAATCAATGTGTTGCTATAATTAATCTGATTCTTTTTAAAGAAACAAGTAGGTGGCATCAGCAGAGAAAGGGAGAATCATAAAAGAAAATTTTCTAGATTTTGTACTGAAGCAACTGTGTACACATTGAGCCATTGTGACACATTATGACGCTAACAACTTGATTGTGGTTAAAACCCGTAATACATAACAAATATAACAGAGGTCAACTTCAACAAACATGTGAACGACGCTACAACTTTCTCTCCTGCGAGACAGAGTGATCACGTGTTACGAAACGTAACGCTGTACTTCGAAGAATTTAGCGTCTTATCTCAAATTAAAAATTTTGATTTTCCGAATTTATTTCTTTTGTGAGAACTCCCATAAGTTAATATAAAGAAATGCATGTGATGTTAAAATAAATATAAAGAAGCGTGCTATGTGTATGTTTCAAATGAGTTTTCCTGTACAAATTTCGCCATAACGTCATCAACATTTTTGCAAGGACATATATATTACAATATCAATTTAGTTAATTAATTAATTTAGTTTAGTTTAATTAGCAGATTGTATTCCCAAACTGGAGTGAGCCGTTTCTGATTTAATCAATAAAATAAATTGACTCGTTCATTAATTTCTTTTGGGACATCATGAAATTTTTGGAGGGAATAAACATATATGTTTTTATTACAAATTTATAATGCTTACGATAACTTTAAAGTGTCTGCAAGATGTCAAGGCATTGCAATTTCTGATTTGATAAATAAAATTACTCAATCATTAATTTTTTGAGTCACCTGTACAAGCAATTTTAAAAAATATAAATGGAATGATTCATACATCACTTATCATATTTTGCATATTTTAGACAGCACTTATTTGGCAGAATTTTTACATGACGTCATCAATTTTGAGAGAGGGTCCTAAATGGATAAATTTTGATTCACGATTTACAATGTTTCCGATAATTTTAAAACCGTCCGATACAAACTACGCACATGCATTTTGCATAGCAAAGAATAAAAATTGTAGTCAGTATATTCGATGCCGCCAAAATATTCGAATCTTACACTTCGTATTTTTTGTTTGTTACTAAAATTCGCGGAAGCGTAAAATGTTTTCCATCAATTAAAAAATGACGAATACGATAAATTCTAATTTAGTACTATCGCAGTTATCCCTGCCCAAAGGATAAAACCTAAGACCTGCATTCAAAACTCATTCAAATAGTAAATTTTATAACAAATTAAGATTTAACGATTAAAAAAATATAAACATAGTGCCGAATTTTTAACACATTACTTCTTTTATTACGCTAAAAAAATAACGCAGTGCAGACCTTGCATTTCAGAGATTCAAGAGTGCACTTGAACACATCATTAAACAAACTAAAAATTTTGGTGTTAAATGAGAAATACAACTCGAATTAAATATAATTGGACATTGTTTTTAACCAATGATTGCACAATTCAGATGTTTTGTTCTTACACAAGTAAAAATTTTGAAGAATTTAATTAAATCGATGTGTTGAAATTAAACGCTTGTTTTAATAAAAGACGTCCAACAAACATTTTTTTTTTATCAATGCTGTCTTCGACAACCGGTGAAGGTATTTTTTTTATATATCTTTAATTGAAAGCGACTTTATCTCGTGACTACGTAATCATTTTAGTTTTTTAACCGAGTGACCAATCTATTCAAATATTACAAATCTGTCATCCACGGATCCACTCTTCCACTCTCGACCAACTCACCTGGTAAACTTCCCTTGGCGCGGCCCACTCCACGAGCGGTTTGGCGTGCTGCCCCACGGCCCCCTGCTGCTCCTCCCCGGCCCGCTCGGTTGGCCGCCGCCCCACGGGCTGGGGGCCCACCGGCCCGGCCACGTGCCACCACCCCACGCCCACGGCCAGCCTGTCAACACACATCATCAATTCGGAATTAAGTTGAAACGCGTATGGTTTATGTGTGAGTGGTCGTCGTATCTAAATGTTTAATATCGACAAAATCACATCGACGAAAAACGAATCGATTTACGTTGGATCCTTTCTACCACTTTTCAAAACGGATGAGTGCCAATGTGTACTGCAGAGAATTGTTTTTCGGTTTTTTGGAAATTAATCGGAAACGCGGTTCCGGCGGCCTTTATCGCCGTCCACCAGCACTTCAGCCCGCTCTGATTATTCCAAAATATGGAAATTATCTCCAGAGTTAGCGAAGTCGCTTATGTACGATCGATTTATTTTTTCCGTGCTCCGGACTGATTGGGTCGCTTGAATTTAAAAACGTTTTGTTGGGATTTAGTTTTGCTAATCCGGAGGTTTTAACGTGCAATTTGTACACCGTACACTACCAGCACTCAACAAGGAATCTGTGCCAAATGCATAAAACACTGTGAGCGGATGGGACTGAAAACGTGACAGAGAATGCAAGCAGTTAAGGGAATCATAACAAATTAATCGCAAACGACTCATTCCACAAATTAAAAACTGATTAACGAGGAAGTCTTGCGAACCCATTACTATTTTCAATAATCCTCAGTGAAAAAAAATATTGATTTTAACACGAAAAAATATACAACCTGTAACAAAAAAAAAATGTATAACTTGAATAAAATAGAATATGTTTTGGGTTTCTTTTAAAAAAAGTAATATGAAAATCGTTTCATATTCAACGTCTTTGGAACAGTTGCAATCAAATTTTGTGAAATGAGAAGTTCCGTTATCCGGTATGTAGTATTATTTTGTAGTTGTATCATACCAAATATTAGAAACAAAACTCTGTAATCTTGTAACTTTAGACACTATTATCAATGCATTAAACTATAAATACAAGATGCGATATTGTTTCCCGTTGAAAGTATTTAACTATTTAGGTAATATGAAGTTATGCGTATAAAAAAATAGTACGTTATTAAATGCTTGATGCTCATCAATACCTATCACGAGAACTTGATTTGCTGAATCTGATCACACAAATTAATTAATCGCATGATTAACTTACCGCCACTTTGATAAAGCACCCTGAAGGGACAGTTTCTATGAGGCAAATTAAAAATCAATGCTATATTAAATATTTAGTGGTGGATAAAGCTGAATTTTGAGAACCTGATTTCTTGTATTTGATCACATCATCAGTTAATTACATGATTAAATTAACAAGGGTTTCATAAACTGACCCTTAATATTTTAAACTGAATTTATATTAGATCCAATTACCTCTCCCTAGCATAATAATACAATTTTACAATCAAATATACACCACGTTTATCGTTATGAGCTGACATTTTACTAATTGCAGTGTTATACTGTTACTATCCTCGACTAATAAATTAACGTATATAAAACCCGTAACTCAAAAACAATATTAGGATTTTTTTTTGACAATTACAAACATTAAATTTATATCAATGGGCGTAATACTTCGAACCCGTCGTTTCTATCACAAACGTTCATTTTGAATTGCTGAATCACTGAAGAGACAACATTTATGAATATTAATGCCGGAAAATATTATCAAACTCAAACTCGGAAAATATTGCCCAATGACTAAAAAATGGCAGCATGTTTATATTTACAGATTCAGCTCAGATTCAAATTCTCAAATTCATCAACAATTACCAAACTGTCTTAAAAAAACATGGTCAGTATTCCTTTTGAAATGAATTTACCTGGGTTTCGTTTTTTGCTACAGGCTGTATAAAATGTTAAAGATTTTCAAAAAATGACAGTACAATTTACCAAACTAAATCATTTAATGTCACATGAGCATTTAAGAATTTAAAACGATTCGTTGGTTAAAGCTTAAAATTTTTGTTGTATGAATAAAAAACTTAAAAATATGCCATCTGAAAATAAATTTAGTGCCAGTTCCCAAATTTGTTTTTTTTTTACCTGCACAGACGAACGTCATCCGCTGCACTAAAGTTCATGCATTATCCACAACAAGGTAGGTAGAATGGGAGAAAGGTAACTTTGTTAGTATCATTACACAGTCAATGAAACAAACAATAATTAGGATGAAACTGCCACGTGTTAGCAACACCAATGAAAAATCCCAGCAGATTTACTTTATTTGTATACGCGATAAATCTGCCGGAATATAAACTACACCTACTGCCTGTAGGCTGATGATCTCTAAAAATGATGAATGCACTTTTTTATTAGGTTAGTATGAATAAATTCATCATAGTACCTCACTGACGCCGATACTTAAAATAGATCAGAACGTAAAAGTAAGGTACTATAAATCTGGGACCATGAAGGAAATGGAGCGACAGGAAATGAAACATTTACTGGTAGAAAGGATTACAACAAACCTGATTCCCACTGCTAACTTCGTAGTACACGCTGGTCGAACTCAACGTGCCTCCTTCATCCAGTTCCTAAGTGTCAACATAAAAGTCAGTACCATTCTATGACAACACTTAGCACTGGTTGTCTTATTATTTTTGATGGTCTATGAAATGAAGCGAGCTGCACCGTGCATCTTGATGTAAATGTATAAAAAAAAAAAAATAAAAATCAGTGCGGCTCGCTTCGCTCCTGCCTTAAATCTATCGATATGCGGAAGCTCTAGAAAAGGGTTATCCAAAAATCAAAGACTGGTATATAATGGAAGCTCGGCTACAGAGCGTGAGGCCGCCGCCTATGGCGGCCAAGCCAAGCAAAGCAAATTAATGTAAATAAAAAAATGTCAACAAAAAACAAAGCAAAAAGCTTCTAATAAGCACTATAAGCATAAAGCAAAGACATAAGCGGATGCAATATATCAACGACACTGCTGTGACACGAAACATGGACAAAGACACAAGCTGCGGTCGTCTAGACACTTGCGTTAAGCTCAACTTAAAAAAAACTGTATTTCATATATGACATAGTAGTGTGAAAGGTTAGTGTCGGCGTGGCGGCGTCTCGTCCCTCGCCCCACTTTTGGATAACCCTGCAACTAAGAGCAGCGCATCATATCTGAGCCAGCCTACGCGCGGGCTGGCGTTCGTGCATCGTCTCCTTGGTCGTCATCATCATGATCATGTCATCTCGACTCGTTCGTTCTCTCTTTTGTGAATTTCTGTCACTTTTCCCGGCGGCGCTGAATTTTGAAGTTGGCTCAGATATGATGGTGATTTGAATGTGGCAAGTGTTCAGGTATTAGTCGACCATGCAAGCGGGCCGGGCAGTTAGGGGTGTTAGGTGCGGCTCGTTAGTGGCATATGCCGACACTGTGCCACAATCAAACTACCGCATAAATATTATAGAGAGAATAAAAAAATAAAAAAAGAAACAACAACGGTAAACAATTTCAATAGGCCACCCACCGGTTGTGGTTGCCTGCCTCTCCCTCGGGATTGCGTCGGCGCCGTCGGATAATCGTAATAGTAATCTTCATACCGGTAATAGTCATCATAATATGGGTCACTGTAGCCGCCTCGATAATCCCCGTACCCGTAATAGTCGTAATCATAATCTATAAAAGACAATAATAGTCCCAATTTAGCCAACTAAATCCAATCGAGATATTGCATGGAGGTTGTACTACTAGAGCATGCCGGGAAAAGAGTCAAGTAACGATTCTCGCCAAAATTTGCTTTGGATTACAGTTACACAACACTACGCTAAAACAGAACTTGGTTTCATCATGATTGACTGTCAATGGAACGTGGCGCGCCACTAATGCGCCCTCTCTACTGTTCACTGTCAACTACCAGACGTTCGAAGAGAAAACAAAAATCAAAGAGTATAGAGGTCAGTCCCTACACCACAGCGTGTACTTACCCGCTGCTCCTGGCTGTAAGCGCAACATTAAACAACACAAGTGATGGACAGACAAAGAGAGAGAAAGAGAAAGACAGGAAATAAAGTCACATGCATGTTAGAGTCGGAGCCGCGTGCAATGCTGTACGATGCCCTTGCCTTGCGGTGCCCCCGGCTGCCTCATGCGCTCGTCCTATCACTCCTACACTACTGGAAACACGCTCACGCGTACCATACACACCAACCCTCTGACAACTAGCACAAATTAGTACCAAAATATTCACTAATACAACACTACAACAACAACGTTAAATTTACAATTACTACATAAACTTTCAGACCTGGAATAAACAATGTTTTAATCGACAACATTATGATTCAGCATTAATTATGTTTATTAATATACATCAGTAGGTGTTCCTCGTCAACTTGCAGTCAGTCTAAACGAAATCACATAAAAACACATCAATATTTTGTGTTAGTGGAATGCTGGAAATTTAATGCTTGTTAAACAGTTTGTGGGAGGGGAGGGGTTAAATTTAGCTATTACTGGTTAAATATGGGCGGCTGTAGTGCAGAACATTAACCATTACAGTTATAATTAATGTTAATAAATAGGAAGATGTGCCTCAAATTATATTTCACGATGAAATATAAGAAATTAAAGCATAAAATATTTTATACTCAAAAAATAAAAGTGAAAACGCCTTTCAACAAAACAGCTTCTTGTAATCGATAGAGAAATTAATTTTAGAAAATTATGTCTCGTAAAAAAAATATGATCACAAGCACAACCTCCCAGATTATTTTCCGTTCGTTAGAAACATGACTTTCAATGAGACAGAACACTCCTCAAAATGTTAATTAATATCAGTCACAAACTGATACATTTGTAATTGGTTCAAAAACGGTATGCTGATAGGTGGCAGGAAGTAACAAAATTAATAAAAATTTTAAATGTACAGATAATAAAAAATGCAAAATTGCCACATAGAAAGCTAAAGCTAATTCTTTACGTTTTTATATAAGCAGTTTTACTTTCCACAATAATTTAAAAATAGAATAATTGAACATGATCTATTTTCATATAAACATCGTATTTAGACAAAATATACTTCAAATCCGTCGTTTTGTTTTTATGTTCAGTTTTATAAAAACCGGTAGTCAATCAAATTTATTTTACTTGAACAAATTTTAGTAAAGACAACTGAATATTTCTTCGTAATACCAAGACTGGGGGTACCATGCTCAAATTCAGAGAAGTATTCGTAACGAGCTAATGAAAAATATGAATCACATTTTAAAATAGTGCTAATTCATTCAATTACTCATTTAATTTATTAAATATTTGCCTGAATACATATAACAAATATCCTGTTACTAATTTCCAAATAATGCCTCCAAGGCCTACATTTTGTTTTCCGTAAAAATAATCTCAAACTGTGATAGCGTACACAGTATGAACGAAGGCACAAAAAATAATGTTATTGTCGCCGTACAATAACACCACAGAGCGCAATAGATATCAATTTTCTTTCCTTAAGTAGATCCGTACTTATTTTAATTAAATCATTTATGTTTGTTACGAAATTATTTTGCATTTTTCATTATCTTATTGCATGAGTTACATGCGTTACTCTATCACCTTCATTTGTATAAGAATTTTTTTATCAAAAGTATGCAATGACCAGAAAAACTGTCACCGGAAAACTTAAAAGTAAGAAAAAAATTTAGGACAATGAGCCACATTCCATCATTTATTAACACGATTTAGAGATTATGTATGTACCACGATATCGTCCGATTAAGATTTTCATACAAGTATTAGCATACTTTCAAGTGTGGAATAGTTACTTGACTAACAAGCAGACTAAGGACCTCATCTTATTAATAAAAATGGAAAAGTAATCTGCTTTGAGTTTAGAGAAGTCCGCACACTTACCATAGTCCCCACGGCCCATAGGTCCTCTCATACCGGCACCGCTCCTCGCCTGTCCAGGCTGACCCCTCAGAGGCATACTACCTGGCATCATTCTGAACACAAAACACGTTTTACGTATAACGTGATACACCACTTCTCCGTCAACTTACCCTCCACGCACTTGCATCATCTGCATCATACGTCTTTCACGCGCTCTCAAAATTTCTTCTTTTTTCTTTTTATCGGACGGAGGTTTGGCTAAAGATACTTCTATATTGGACCCGCCCATTTCTTTCCCATCTAACTCTTCCATGGCCTAGTAAAATCGATTAGTTTCCAATAACGAAACTAGAGAAGGTGGGTAGTTTACCTTAACGGCATTCTCTCGATCTTCGAAATGGATAAAAGCGTAGTCTTTAATTTTCTTCACACGTTCGACTTTTCCGTACGCTTCGAAAGCTTCTTTGAGCTTTTCTTCAGTGATCTCTTGCGTTAAATTTCTCACGTACAACACCTTCACCTTGGACATGGTCTGCTCGTCCGGTTCTTCTTGCGGGTCTGCCCAATCGACGATAATATCGCAACCCCACACCTTGATGCGTCCCGTGCCCAAACGACGTTTGGCTAACGAGGCGGCTTTGTGAGATTCGTACTCCAGGAAACAGAAGCCGCGATTCTTCTTCTTGTCGTCTGGCGAGCTGTAGATTATGACTTCCATGAGGCCGGCTGTACATACACAGAACGTTGTGGTTAAGAAAAGATCGTCCTGTCTGGAGAGGCGCATTGTCTGGATGAGCACCAAAGTCCACTGCACCGCAAGACCATAATACAGAGGAACAACAAGCTTGGACTATACGCACTGGACCTTGTCACCCTCCGTGCTTGTAGCGGCCCTGCCCTACCCATTGCTCAGGCGCAGACTAACGCATTCCAGGGTTTAAGGGTATCTCAACTTACGTGCATGTTTGGAAAACTCTTCCAAGAGATCGTCTCGATCCCGGTTCTTTGGAATATAGCCCACAAATAACCGGTGATTGTTATAAGATATGGTTACGCCAATCTTTTTGCCTTTCCGTATCTCATAATCATTCAGCTGCAAGAACAGTGGAAGGGTAGCCAATTATGCCATGGGCAAAAGGGTGGGACGGGGCAGGAAAGGACTGAGCCCGGCAGCCGGCCGCCACTAGCTACTGATGCACTTTACCTGTTAATTTACCAAACTCTTCCAGTATCTCCTCTTTGCCTTTAGACTTTGGTATGTTGCCCACGAAAAGCCGGAGGTTCGGAACACTAATGTTAATTTTCAGGGTCTTCCCGGGTTTGATTTCGTGATTATCGAGCTGTGGGTCAAGAAATAAATATGCCAGAATTTGATTTAGACACATCAAATCTTAAAATTTTTAGCACGCTATTCACAGTCGGGCTGCTAAATTCCAAATCCAAAATCAAACAAAACAAATAAACGACAAATGGGACACGGCACACTTCCACTATCCCATCGCGGTGTCCTCGTCCGACCTCCTCTCACGGCTTGTCTTTCTTCTAGCGCAGTTTGAAGAAAACTTTTGGTTAGCCGCCCGACAAAGATACTAAACAATATCAATTTAGTTACCAAAATAGACAATTTTGCACAAGGACCATCACAAACAGTATACTCGTCCAGGCATGCTTTTTTCACGTTTCTGTTTTGATTATTTTCAAAATCAACAACTTTCAGGAATTACCGGCATTGCTGCCTGGAACCTGGAATGCTGAACTGTGCTCGAACACCACCGCTACACCCAAACCAAAATAAATGTACACTACACCTGTGATTCCCATTGTATAAATAGGTGTTGGTACGTACCAACTTGCAAATTTAAACTCGTTATTTTTTTGCATTTGTTGAACATTTCTACCGTTTACTGTTATTGTATTTTCAGACTGGCAAAATGAAACGAAATCTTCCAACACCTATTTATACGTGGCGCCTACAACTGAATGGAATTTAGAAAGGTCCGGTCTCAATTTTGCCCCTTTTGCAAAGAGGAGACCTGTAAAGGAAAAAAATTTAAATCCAGCCAAACACACCAGTACTTCTCTAGAGCCAATCGCGACACCCGCGCAATGCGTAGTGTCTTGAGTCATCTCAATTTGGTCGCGTCATGGGCTCTGATGGAGGAGAAAGCTACAGAGGGAGAGAAGTATGCTCCGTGGTCAGAGCCGCTGCAACAAAAGTGAGCACTAAATTGACGGCTGTGACAACAGTTGGCACACATCACTATAATAGAATTGCCAATCAAAAAAAAGTCTGACAGAAAAACGATAGGCCAGAAGACCACCCGGATCTCGTCCTGATGCTCTCTGCCCGGACTGCAGAGGACCACTACAACCTGGTCCCCTGGAACCCGTTAATTTTAGGTTACAAGGTTTAAGAGGGTGCAATTTCAAAAACTGTTCCTGTTTGGTCATACTAGACAAACCAAATCAGTATCCAGAAAATACTACGAATTTCCAAAAATGCTACTAGGGCCTTCAAGACAATCAAATACTAACCAATCACCGATCTCAAAACTGACTTGAACTAATCTTAAGTTTACACATAAATAAAACAAAGTATCAGCTACTCTTACTACTTGAACGCCCCTCTCCATCACCGCAATCAGACATGTCTCTAAGACGGTCGCTTCCGTTAAACATCTAACATCAACCCAACCACCATTTTCACATACCTTTTGGACGGCTAGTTGGGCAGCTTCTCGTGTCGTGAACGTCACGAACGCATACCCCCTATTCGTCCCCGTCATCGGATCCATCATTAACCGTAAATCCCAAATAGTGCCGCATGCTTCAAATAAAGGTATGAGTTCATCCTCATACATGTCCTTCGGGATTTTGCCACAGAAAACTTCACAGCCGGCGCCTGGCGGCGACCCATCCCAACCTGGTGGTGGACCGCCATACTTGCGTTGGCCTTCACCAAGTCGTAATACACACATTAACCAAAGTATAATAAGAGCACATACGTATTTGTTAACTCTAATCAACAATAAAATGATTCATTTTTATTTTATCAAAATATCGAATACAAAAACATGACGTAACTTTTAGTCCTTATGAAATATCCCACCAGGTTGTCATGACAATATTGACAATCACGTAGACTTTGTAAAAGACGATGTATAAATTCAATTTGAACTGAATGTGATATAACGATAAAAAAGAGAACACGGAATAAGAAATTGCTCCTTAAAATTTAAGGAAAACAACTCTTACAAGTAAGCAACAAGTTATAACTTTTTTGACTCAATATTGACGTTAACAGGTTTATTATTGTCAATTTTGATATGGTGTTGAAGTAATACTAACGATAACTACACTTACTTAGAATTAACTTAATATCATATTAGTGCATATCGTCCTATCAAACGATACAGACACCATAATTGTTGGGAAGTGTTGATTGACAAGAAGTGTGAAATCAGTAAGAGCAACTCAATTTTAAATCTTATCTTCAACAATATTTGGCTACTTACTTGGTGTTTAAACTAGTCAAACTTTAATGAATTGTGCAGACAATACGGCAAAATGTAAAATTCAATTGAATATACTATTACAATAATTAATTGTGCCAAGTTGAACGAGATCTGTTCACCAAAATTAGTGGTTTTAATTCTACTTGAATGATAAAATTATGAAAATCCACCAATTTTGCGGTAAGCTTAAAATTTACGTTGCAATTTAGAGCGAAAACTCCAGCTAACCTCAAATACACAACTTGTCGATACTTATACACAATAAAAATGAATCTTCAAAATAAATGAGGCAGCGAAACAATTAATTTTTTTCTCCTAGAAAAATCACCTGTAGTAACGTCCAGTGTATACCCCGTCCTATCCAGAATTTGTTTGATCTTCTCTTCGTCAGGTCCTTTGACGGGCGCTGGAGCCGGCGTTGTCGTGCCTTGACTCGATCCGGCCCGACTCTTTTGACGGTACGTTTTCATAACGCCACACAAATACGCTGATTTGTTCGACACATGTTCCAAATTCGAGTCGAGGAACTGCCCCAAAACGTTAAGGGCACCATCAACGGGAAACTCTTTGAGAGCATCGAGAGCTCTCTCGTCGAGGTCGACATGTGCTAGTTTACCAGTCTTATATATCTCGTCTAATTTTGCCGCCACCTTCTCATCGAGGCCATATTCTAGTAATTTCTGATAGTCTTCGGTTCTCTCGGGTTCCCCTTCAATTTTCATTGGCTCTTCTGATACCTCACCATTTCCTTCGGCCATAGCTGAAAATGCACAGAATGTAATTGCATGTGTGAAAAACTGGTTTCACCTCTTTCGCGCCAAAAGCAACTATAATGCACAATGCCGTCGCGAGGCCTTGGGACGGTAAAAAGCGACTTATATTTAGAAAGATCCGTAAGTACGATGTGCGCCATTTGCATGTTATTTGAATAGGTTGATTTTATCGGCGCAAAAGAAAAAGTCTGAGTCACCTCTAGACCAATTAGGTTTTTGTGCTGTCGTCCAAGTGTAGTCAGTGCATCCTGTTCCAACCGAAATTCTTACTAGTAATGAAAAATTTCCGCAAACCCTCACGCTACATCATACAACGTAGCTATAAATATCGCCAAAGTGTAATAATTGCATCACTTATTCATTATCTCGTGTATGTTGACATGCAATGATTCATATCACTGTTACTGAGGCTTTATCTTACATTTTTACAGGGAATAAATTGGCACACTTGAGTTCGAATCGGGTTATACTCAGAATCGAGACATTTATAGCACATTAAGGAACATTATCCCAAAAACAATAAACAATGTATTGTATTTCAAAACCACTTAACTGCTACAAGCGCACAAATGTTTTGCCGCCAGTTCGTCTGTGATAGTTCCTGAGATATAATCAAAACAATATGCTACCAACAACTAACAAAGTTACACAAAACGGAAACGTCAAACAAGCGATAAAAAAGTAACAAAATAATATATAACACCGCCAAACGATCAACGAAAGTTTGTTTGGACGCCGCATTCGGTTTCAGATTTCGTTTTAACGCAAATGTAACGATTACACTCAAAACGTGCTCTATATAATTAAATCGATCAATAAACCCCGTTAGTTGTTTCACATTTGTGGAAACAAAGCTAGAAGATTCATCCTTAATTTTTAGTACAAACTATGTAAATCGTGCTTGTTTCGGTCATGGTTTGCTTATTTAGCGAGTTGATGAGATTTGATACAGAAAGGTTTGATTCTGAGTGCATAAATGGCGTTCTGCTACTACTGAAAAAAAAATCTTTATCAAATCGAGTGCATTTACAATATAAGTGTGCATTGCTAAGAAAAGTTGTACATATTAAATGTAAATAATCCCGCAACTTCAGAAAAATAAAAGCAATATGAAACTCCGAATTTAATTGTGATCGTTTAGCGTATCCATAACAAATTCGAACAAATCCGTTAAAAAATTAACTTGAGTGAAGTCTTAAATAACAAAGGCTAGAAATGAAACACAACTTAAAAAATGTTCGTCCCACTATTTTTATTTTTAATAGCAAAAAAAAATAAACCAAAAATTGTAAATTACGCAGGCATACTCCGTTTTACGTAATCTCGTAATATCAACAAAAAATGAGGTAATCAAAAATATTTATTTAGTCACTCAAAGACTAAATTACTGATTGAATATTTCTAAATACTTCCGTAATTTTGAATTATTGTATAATTACGTTTAATTCGAAAGAACCTAACCACGAAAATAAACGTGTACAAGAAATGTATGTATCGTTTATTACACTAGGTTATGCAGATTTTTGTTTGTATGAATACACCTTATTTATCTATTTAAGAAGTGGCAGCTCCTTATTTACTTTTCAGCGATAAATATTCCGACAAGGGTCCCAATAAATATCGCAAGTTTCATAAAAATAAAGTAATTCGCAACTGGAAAAACTAAATAAAGCTTTTTAATTTTGCTGCGACCGTGAAATTTTATTTTTATTAACACAAACGTTACAAAAATAATGTTGCAAGCGACATTTTAAATTTTAAAGACTATCCAAACTCCAATCGCCACATTTACATCAGATTATAACGTAGTACGAATGGAATAAGCCACACACTTCATTAACTAACAAAAAGACATTTGGCACAAATTGAGAACTTAATTTAAAAATATGCCATTCATCCTGTATTTACGCAAAACCACGACAAATGTATTTAAAAGGATAGAGTGAAACATGTGATATAATATATATGTAATAATCGTTTTAGGTACAGATTTGATGATTTTTAAATATCAAATTGTTATTTATATGGCATTGCATCTTCACACACATCTTTTATTAGTTTTTTCACCAATCTCACAATGTAAATAGTTTTTAAACTATTTTAAAATGAAAAACACACTAAAATAAAGGCTAAAAGGTTATTCATTTCTATTCATATCAATGTGTGTAGTTAAAGACCAAAATCATTTCATTTACAAATTAGCAGCTTAAATTTTCTCTACTAATAGTAAGTTACCACTCATTTTAACAATTCGTCACGATGCCGAGTTCTAAACTTGATTAATGTTAGAATTCTTTGCTCTTTTCAACACTACAAATAATACCCATTTCACTTCAGAATCAAGTCCTTACCAACTCGACCTTTTTCCGTCGTCACTTTCAATATTCCCAACCGCGAACTCCTTCCTTCGTTTTCCACCTCTGATTATTTTTAAAGAAATAAAATTGTGCCCTAAAAATCAATAAAGCCTCAGAAACCAACCTGCACTCAAAAAATCCCCATTGTCACTTTTCCCTTAAGCAAACCGTCTCCAGCGTGACTTCCCTGACCTTTCCAATCTCAAAACTCCAACTCGAACAAACTTAGTTTTCAATCAACCCTTCAATCGAACGTCAACGCGCGTCCGTCTAATATGACAAAATGCTTCCATGACGACAACCCCCAAATTCGAGCGAAATCCGCGAGGAAAATTCCGCGCTTCCGGTCCCAGCGGCCATTTCGATTTTCCCGCGCAAAAAGCGGCGACTTGCGCACAGTAGCCGCAGGCGACCGGCTTTTGTTAACGGCAAATAAACAGTTGCCGGGCGGAAAAGTACAAAATAAAGCCGTTACGGAAGCACTCCAGCCCAAGGAAATTCGCCAAAAAGCAAACTACACACTACGCCAACTACACAGCATCCACAACTACACGACCATGGTCGTACGACACAACAAAACACTCATTTGTGCACAGATCCAACAGAACGTGCGAATAGGAATATCAGTGATCGAAAGGGGACACACAAGACCGGTCCAGCCTTACCCGTTCGTACGATACAGTAAAACGCGCACAAATTTTACACAAAAACCCTAAAAATAACATAAACTTTATATAATTTAAAATGGCGGCCGAGACTGCAATGGCAACGTCAACGTGACCAGGGTTTACACCACGGCGACGCGCGACTGTTCGGCCTCGACCAATGCGCGCCGCCCGAGATAAAGCTGCGTTCACACTGCACCAGAAGCCGAGTTATCGTTTTATCGTCGCGATGGGTTTTTTTAATATTGATTGGAAAAACGATACCACCATGTAGTGGTTTCAGCCACCCACAACAAAAATGTAGCGTCCTAAATGATTTTTCTGATATGCTTTGTTATAAAAAATAAGACAATTTAATCAGCTTTTAATAGGAAAACGTAGAAATCATGAGTTTTCTCAAACGACAAAACATGAGAAAACTAATTATAGTAGCATTATTAAATACTACTCTTGGTCAATTTCACTCACACTTAATTTAACATAATTGTTATAATTGGCCTCAATAATTACGTTTCTTAATCAACAAATATGCACGTGAGTTTGACATTTCTAAGTTGTCGTCAACCTCTGTGGATATATTATAGAATTATCTTAAGTTTTTTTTTAATTTGGCGTCACAAGCACGAAATACGAATGGTAAACGTAATAATTAGGAATGCAGGCTTATAGAAATGAGTTATGCGAATAAAATGAAACTGCTGGAAGCTTTTTATTTCAAGGAATTACTGATGTAGAAACAATGGCGTAATTCACGATAACTATCAAAACTATTCGAGATATTTTCCAATGAACTCACATGTAGTGTGGAAAATATACTTATAAATTCATAATTTACAAATTAACAATGCGCCAGGAACTCGCAACAGATAAACCATTTAATTCGTTATATTTTTTGGCCGTTTTTGTTGGTTTATCACGTCATTAAATTTTGAACCTTGACACCATATGCATTTTTGTTTTATATAATTTTTCTTTAATTCTTAATAACATTTTAAAAAACTTTTCCAATAAATCCACATGACTACTGGCCGCTCTTAACTTTAAAATGCCACTGGATTTCTGAAGTCTTATAAACATCTTATAGTTAGGACAGGTAAACTTATTTATGACTGTTTAAACCGGTAACAATGACCATAGGCGCGAACCGTCATAAATCAGCTTACACATTTTAACAATGAGATGTTTACCAACTTCATTATTTCTGTGGTTATTGCTTTGAATTCCGAATGGCCAATATTTCTAAATAAAGTGGCATTTTATCTCCTTTTTTGAATAATAAATTTTCCATGCGCATACTACCCACTCTGATTTTAAATAATGATTATCAAAATAATGAAATCTTATAAAGCTTTTTTATATAATATATGATATTTTCCTCCCATGGTTTACGAAAGTTCACAACTTGGGTAGGTTCTATACTTTAAAGTCTGAGTCGTCGACACTCGTGTGGAAAACTTTACATGCATATTTTACTATAAACTTTGATATAATAAAAAGTTGAAAATACATGGTTATAGCTTTTACCAAACATTTTGAATTTTTCTTTTTTTTTTTTCACTAAGATTGGGCCAACTTCTTGGTTTCTAATTTTATTATCTTTTTTACAATTTTTTAAAATAAAAATCATCATTTTTCTTTTCGTTAAAAATTGATTACCTGTTGAGTTATTGTAACAATAACTTGTTGATAACATACAAAATTTGCATCTAAATGATGTAACTAAAATCATACTTTGTCTATAAAACAAAACAAACGGATCAGAATCTTGTTTAAATTTAATATGATACTACAAAAACAACTAAACTTGCTGTTTGTTACATTTTGGAATAATAAAGATCAACGTCCTTATTTCTTGTGAAAGTCAAAGTACTTATGTGGAAAGTTTTTCGTCCCTCCCACTGTTCCATCCCACAGTGAACGCTGAGGGTGGTAAGAAGATTACAAACCGAAGTATTAATATTATATTTTATATTATATGTTAACACTTCGGCTTTTAATCCTCTTACCACCCTCACGCTCACTGTGGGATGGAACAGTGGGAGGGACGCAAAACTTTCCGAGCAAACTGTACATGTGACTCAAGGATTGCATAAACGCAAAAAAATCAAAAAACCTATTGGAAAACTCCGTAAGTACGCAATAAAAATCAAATGAATGACGACTAATTAAGTAAGGGCGAATTCCAGCTATTAAAAATCAATAGAGTCGTGTTGATAATAAAATCATTCACGTGTATTCAATGATTACAAAAAATTACGTTCCAAGCGTACTAGACACACATGTCAAATATCAAACATAACCTAGAAGTATTTTCTCATGAAACATCAATTACACTGGCGAAATTTGTTACGATTTTCAGTTTGCTAATACAATTGAGAAATAAGTCGAAAATAAGTCAAATTATTAAGTCTGCGTTAGTAGACTGAGTGAACTGACCACCTGCAAACAATTTAAAACTACAGATTGTCATTCATAAGGACAAAAATTATCCTAAGTTTCAGACCGTTCTAAATTTTCAACCATGAAAATGCTGAAATTTTGAACACTTTGTTGCTTTCAAATGCGCATAATTATTGTAGGTTCGTAAGTTATAAACAAATTAGTCCAGAAAGCGTGTCATGTTTTTGACACTTCATTTTGACAGTTTATGCAACAGGCGCCACCACATTGTTCAGTTTACGACATTGTGATTTTTGTTCTAAACACTAATTCCGTCAACTAAACAATTTTTCAAGAAAGATTTAAACCAGCACTTAGGTACCGATTGACGTTTATTGTTGCAAAAATAATAATGAATACACCTCAAATATTGAAAATCACTAAATTTCAGTTTTTTTCCGATAATTCTAAACTAACGAAAATATTTTGCAAAAGATTCATTGCTGATACGAAATAAAGCAAATTTTCGCTAATTTAACAAATTGTTAGATTACATATTTAACAAATTTAAAACTTTGGCGCCGCTATCAACTCTCACATCAAACACGCACGAGGTTTTTTCATGTCTAAATTTTTAACAGAGAAAATACCGGTATTTCTTTTAATGTCAGTCGTGGTGTAATTGGTCACTGTTTGTTTTCTCATTAAGAAAACTTAATTGTTACCAGGTGTACTCGGAAAAAGGCTTGCCTTCTTTAAGCCAATTAACAAAAGAACGAGCTTGTTCTTGGGATGCCCAGTAAATGTCAAAGTGTTTGAACTTCAGTTAAAAAAAAAACTTATTAATTGTTATTAATACAGAAAATAGGGGTGCTTCTTGTAATATTGGTCGGGCACTGTTTATTATCTCATTAAAATAAACTTAATTGTTACCAGGTGCATCAGGTATAAGACTTGTCCCGTTTTTAAATCAATTAACAAATGAGAAGTACAATGAAGACGAGCTTGTTTTTGAACCGCCCAGTAAAAGACAAAGTGTTTAAACTTGAGTCATTAAGACAATAAAATGCTGCTAATGAACACGCTATGGGGAGGTCCGATTCGTTTGGCATCACGACGCGCGGTTGCCTAATTCGCGAAAATCAGCCCGCGCTCCTCGCGGAGGCCGGGAGACGTGGTGGAGGCGGCAGTTAGTTTTTTTATTATTATCATTATTATTATTATTATGGGGGGACAAGGAGTGCGGCGGACGCACGGTGTGCGTCCGTTGGTGGCCGAAATGGGGGAATTCGCCTCGAAGGGACGCGCTTCCGTTGCTATGCCGGCCGCCGCCATGTGAGCGACGCTTCAGCTCACAAAACAAAAAAGGTTTCCCGATACGGGCCATATACCGAGTGGCTTCGAACGGTCGTCCACCGCAAGCTTAATCAATTCGGCGACAATAATCTTAAAAATAGGTACCTACCACTCACTTGAACTTATGCAAAATCACTTCACACTTTAACAAACACAACAAACATCGTTTAAAAATAAAGAAACACTATTCCGTTAACAAACTAACTAGGATAATTGCTCGTGATAGTTGAAAACAACGTAAATAAATCAATGTTGAAAACTTAAAACACAAACTTAATTTAGTGGTAATTTGCGAAATAAAAAAATTAATAACGAATTTCGGCTTTTGGTGTAGTACCGACTCCCGCGGTGTAATGCAATGTGCACTCTGCAGATTCCGTTGTTTTGCAAGCCGTCTAGTCGGCGCGTACTTGCTGCATTCAGGTTGCTAGCGAGGCAACGGACATGCGCGCTTCGCGCTCAAATTGCAAACCAGTCTGGCATTTCGTACATTCTTTAAATTGCCTCCTATTCACCGCAATATTAACGACCGCGACATACCTTTCCTGCGACGATTAATCGCCAGACGCCGAAATCGACGCACTCGCGCGATTTTCGCCGACGATTCTTAAACAAACGGCGAAATTCGCCGGCGCAGTTCCTGCGAACGCCCGACTAAATAAAAGTACCGTTGGCCCGTCCCAAGGACTCCTAATGATCCGGCAATTTAGCCGGCCGCCATCGCCGTCCTCGTTGCGTATTTTCATTTATTTATTGACGCTAACGTGCCCAATAAAATGTAATCATAGAAAATGGCGAGACCGGCCGGCGGTGGTTAAAAATTCGCAGGAGGAAACCGTCTCGACTTGCGAATATTCCGTTCGTATGGCGGCCGAGTCGTTCCCGCCACTATACACGCCGCAAACAGGTTATTCTAGATTTATTCCCCGTATAAAAACTTAATTTCCAAAGGGGCGGAGGCGGTTAAAAATCTTAGAAACTGGTTTGAGTGCGCTCGGAGTATCAGTGGCGGCTCGTTGCCGTCGTTCACTACGAGGGAAATTCCGCCAAATCGCGGTCAAGTGCCACGAATAATTTTCTACAGATAATTAACCATCACTTATTTAACTGCAGTTGCAGTGTTTACAAAAAGTCGTAAACTCGTGCATTCTTATGTTAAAATTTATTTTTTCTTTACATTTCGTTAAAAAAACAAAATTTATTATTTACTCTTTATTTAATTCAAAAACATTTCACGAAATTCCTCAGTTTTTTTAGTTATTAGGGCATTTACAAGGTTTCACACATTTTCTCTCCGGTTTTGACTCACAGACACACGTGCACACAAACTAAATAGCGAAACAAATTTAGAACTTGCAGTGTCGAGTACTTTTCTATTTATACACCAAAAACAAATTACTGCCACGGTGGAGTGTCTTCACTTATTCCTAACTTTCACGAAAGAGTAAAAACGCACCACCCTCTTGCCGTCTTTATTTAGTTTCTCCTAACGCAGAATCGAAAACACAACTAAGCTTATTTTTTTTGTTTAGTAAAATGCAGTGTGGGGTATTGTTTAACATTTTCAATTAGACCAAGTGTTCTAACACTACGTAACTTTGTAATTTTAAATTACATATTTTTTCCATACAAAATTTTCCATTACGTCAACATGACGACAGTATATAATAATAATCTACATCACTAGTGGGACAAACCGAACATTACCACACGGTAAAGTTTACTCACAATGAGGAATTAATCACCGAGTTATGTAATCATACTTGTGTGACAACTTGTTAATCTATAAATCAAAATATATTTCGTCTTCAAAAATGAATGGGATAATGTTACGAGGATTAATGCGTAAGATAACTCGTATGAGTAGGACGTGTGAAATTTGCCACAATATCGTACGTAAAAAAAATGTTATTACACGTGATATTTTTATGTTCAACAGTTTTCCTCACAATGGGAACCATATTTTATTAAAATATTATGAATAACATTTATATGTACCGTCGATTTTATCTAAGGTATGTAGTCAACATACAGAATTTTCCACTGGTATATTCGAAGAAGACTACTTACACTTACTTCTTGTGAAAAAAACATTACCACGGTTTGCTGCTATTCATTTAGATGCACAGTTAGAAAATCTTTAATTATATGAAGTGTTCCATTTAAAATAAAATATATAAACTGCACAATTAATTTCATATAACAAAAGAAAAACATGGTGTAAAACATTAGTGTGTTCTGGCTTACAGTTTTTAAAATAACTGACCTCAATTTAATTGAATAAAAGTTGTCAAAAATATACGGATACCACGACCGATTATTCATGTAGTCAACGGGAATTTCCAGTGAAATATTCGAGGAAGACTACTTATTTCTTGTGAATTGTTTTTATCACGGTTTGACAACCTGTTTAAATCTATAACTGAAATAATTTTTAATTACATAGAATATTATTATTATATATATATTATTATATTATCTTTAAAATTAAAATGTGAAAAATGTGTTACGTTCAACAGTTAGCAATACATTATTAAAACAAAAGTCCCTGTATTTTAAAGATGAATAATATTTATAACTCGAATTTATACATTATGTATTACAACTTTTTCGTTTTGTCGTTTTTCTATTTGTTATGGAATATCTAATACGTTGTTTCTTCTCAACTTACCTTCATAGTAATATTTGCATGTCTTATTTTACAGGTAATAGAAACAAGTAGTTCATATTTTTATACAAAAGAAAAATGTCAACAGAAAGAACAACATGTAGTTGTATCACTCTGTATAAGTACATAACTAGCGAAATTGTACATCTGTGTTTTATCGAACCGTGTCGAAACATTTTTTTCGTTAATACACAAAAAGTGTGTAATCTTCTATCATCAGTCCGTTGAGCCACCCTCCACAATTTAAGACAAGGCAACCGTCTTTTTACACACATGTTTCAAGCTTAAATATAACTTTCTAAAATTTTCAGTGGTCGATTATACAGGGTGAACCAAATAAAACGAAACAAACGGGATCGTAGGTGATGTACTTGATTATGTGAAAAATGCTCGAACAGGTCGATTTTTGATTCAAGGGGCACGTATAACGTTGCTAGTTTGTATGTATGGAGATGAATGGAGGTCGTTTTCAACGTTTATTGCGTTGACATTCTTAACGAGTAAGTAAAAAGAGGTAATATTATATTGACTTTTCATAATACAATTTCTCAAGAACCAATCCACCGATTTTAAAAATTCAAACACTGTTAGGAAGAGAATTAATGGGGCTTCCGCCTACGGTCCCGTCTGTTTCGTTTTAGTTGGGCGACCCTGTATATTCAGATTGTATGAAATAAAAACTACGAGCAAAACAAAAATTAAACTGTCACACAAATCAGGCCAATCTTATAAAACTCTAGCAATTTTCAAACAAGATGTGAGACTTTCAGACAATTTTTGTGCGTTTAAATTTTTTAATCACTTTGTATTTTGCACTATTTGTAAGTTTTAACCAGATTTGTATCCTTTTTTAAAATAAGTGTCATTTAAACGAAAAGTCTATGACGTAGAATTTTGATAGTGTTAACCAAAAATGAATTTTATATATTTTGGGCACAATTTAGAATCGAATAGATGACGACATATTTCTAATACTTGCATTAAACCATTCAAATCTGTTTTCAAACATAACACATCTCATTTATAAGAGTCATGAAATAACGAGTGTTCAAGCGAAAAAGTCGTCAAGTTGGCGTTGTCTTTTTAAAAGGAGAAAAAATAACGAAAAACGTATGTGTCTTATTAATCCATACTGTACATAATTGACATTTCCGCGTTGTCCCTGTCATCGATTAAATTTTAGGTTTATCGTAGACATACTTCACAATATTTACAAAAAATTAAGGTCAACTTGATAACTTTTCCAATTGAACAACCATTTTTGCCTTCTAGATTTCTATTTTCAAGTACATATACTAGAAGATATGAAATTAAAGTTTTTCATTTCTAACGTTAGCGACAATTTTTTAACCCTCAATAATCTCATGAAGAATTACGAATTTTTTTTCGAAAAATTTGCTGTTTGTGAAAAATCATTTTAATTAATTTATTTTTACAAATTTTGTTTTTAATACATTATTTTGAACTGAAAATTTTTATAGATGTCATCAATTAAGATTTATTTCTATTCAAAAGAACCTTATTTTTGGTGGTCTGATACAGTTTGGGAACAATAAAAAAAACGTATTTTATTTGTAGAATAATTTAGAGAAACAACATAATATTTATCACTATCACATAATTTGACATTACTATTTGCTAAAAATAAAAATAAACATTTTTTTTTAATTATACAGTTTATAACTGTAACGAGTTCCCATAATTGTTAAAGCAATTACCAGATATTATTATTACATATAAGCCAGCGAGTTACCAAGTTTTCAAAGCAGTTCATCACCTATCCATTTCCCAAGATAATTCGTCAAATTTGATTCCATTTTTGACACATTTCAAGCCAGATTTAGTCGACAGGATTGTAAAGTGACGTTATCGATTTTTTGGATGAAATGAATAAACAAAATTTTGTTAAAAGTCCGTATCACTAAACCGATTTTAATGATACGGACTAGACATTTTAAAAAAATCCATGATTTTATTTCTTCAACAAATAGTAATTAATTCTGCTAACTGTATTTTTTCGAATAAACCCCAATATTAAATGAATTAAAGTGGATTATTAAACCGTCCTTTAATTTTTCGATTATCTGAAAAGATCGTTGGCATTATATCTGCGCTAGTATGGATTTTGCAAATAAGATGGGGGCGGGTGGGTGGAGTTTAGTTTTTGTTTTTGTTTTTGTTTTTTTTTTAATACATATATGTAGTTTTCTTTCAACAACACGATCAAAAACATGTTTCAAGTGGTGATTTCTTGTAGAGAAATAAGAATTTTGCAATTAAGCTCCGCCCCCCGTCTCACGACGATTAAAAAAATCATCACAATTGAGGTGGCGGTGGGTGGGCGGGGTTTATATTTTACTTTTTTTCTGAATATACTTTGTCTTTTTCACGACAAAATACTTAAAACATGTTTGAAATGGTAAATTTTTGTAGAGAAATATCGATTTTACAATTGAGCTCCGCCCCTCGATATATTACATTAAATTATTGCAAAAAAATATGTTTTTCAAGTTCAACAAGAAACTCCGACATTTAAAAAATTTGACGTCATGTTGTCGTAAAAAATAGATGACATGACATTAACTTTGAAACACTTCACATCGTGTGTTGTTGATTATTAAAAATGTTTTACAGCGCTGGGACAACGAATAATGTACACTTTAATTTCTGCCGAAAACAAAATAAAAGTGATAAGTAATAACGACTGGTTTATAATTCATATT